AAATGCCAGAGCAAACAAGAGCAGTTGCCAAGTTTTCCCTGGGTATCTCTGACCAATCTTATCAGTATGAGTCTCAGATAAAAGGCTGCCTGCACTCCCTCAGGAAAATATTGAATCGCTGGATGAGATTTTACAAAGAAGATATCACTGAGAGGCCCAGAGAAGGAAAGACATATAAATTAGTCATATAACCCAACAACAACAAACAAAACCAAAACAAACAAACAATAACAACAAAAAACCAAAAAACAAACCACACCAAAAAACCACTCCTGCAAAAAAGTTATAGTACATGAAAACAGAGTAAAAGGAAAATCAGAATCAGCAGTAGAGTATCTTTCTTAAATGTGAATGGTGACAATTACCTGGCTGCTTCTAAAATACAGCCTTGATTCCTGCAACTCTAAAGGGCAAAACTCCATTATTTTCTTACAGTAGTATCTTGGAATCAGAGGTTTGGGGAAGACAGCTCCTACTTGACTGAACACTGAAAGTTTAAATTTAAAGTGATGTATTTTTCCAATAAAATCTCTTGGGAAAAATACTGAGTGGCTGAAGCACCTTAGACTCTGCACACACAAGCAGGGAAAACGAAATTTCTTCATTCCTGGTTTTCCAGCTTCTCTCCACAAAGTCCAGAGTGTTGTTGAGACCTTGTAGACAACACAGGAGCTATGATTCAGTAGGAATTCTGTATCTTCATTCTGTTTAGGGAGTGTTGCAACTCTAACTTAGTCTGTAACCAGTACCTGCCATCACTCTCCTTTCCTCAATAAATCTTACAACATGACAATCTTACAACAACTTAGCACAAGGTCAAAGATTCCCAAGTGTGGAGAAGAGAATCAGAAAATAGTTTGGGTAGGAGGAAAGTGTATCCACTTCTGTGTCAATCCTGAATCAATAATCACAGGCACGAGGATTTGTTGCACTGGGAAAAAAACCCAATCAAACAACAAAAAAATAACAAGGCCCCCAATCCTGGTCAAAGTTTAAAAATGGGGAACCTGAGAGAAACAAGCAAAGAATAAATACTGAAATTAACAGACACAGCAAATCTATATAAAGGATTTCTGTGGTTCATCACATGCTATGAAACAGGAAATGAAGTTTTCCTTCTAACTTGGTCCATTAGAGATTTACAGTATTTGAACTGCTCTGAGTAGTGGGATGGAAAATATTGTAGTGGTTTTTTCTTTAATTAAAAAAGTGAAACTATCAGTTTATCAAGCTCCAGTGTGTGATCTGAGAACAAATTTCAGCCCAGCTCTTGAGGGCCTGCAGTGCAAGGAGATTTCCAGCTGCTCTGGGGTTGGAGTTTGACTTTAGGTGGAATTCCAGCATGAAAGTCCAAGCTTTCATCAAACAACTAAACCACACAGGCTCTGCAATCCAGGCTGCAAAAGTGTCATCATTAAGAGTCAGCTATCAAATACTTCACTTGTTATCTTTACACCATTGCCTCGTTGTTCAGCTTCATTTCTTTCCCAGACTGTGTAGCAATGCAGCACCACCTTACAACGTTTTGCAGACACAGGGCTGGTTTTGGGAATCTTCTTCATCTTACTCATCCATCCCAGCTGGAATGATCCTGAATGATGATGGCAAAACTGCCTGGAATTCATTTACAATAACCAAAATAGAGCTTCAGTTCTTTTCCCAATTCTGTCCAAAATGGCCTTGGGTAACTGCTGAGGTTTAATCCTCAGTATCAGAGTCGAGATTATGCTCAAGTCCACCTCTGCACACCATGAGCTGTGTCATGAGCACACTCCCTTGACCCCAAACATCAGTTCAGACTGAGCTCTGCAATATTACCCAGGGGGCAAAGGCTTTACCATGCACTGCAGCCCTCCATGAAATTCACTATCAGCAAGAGATAAGAACCCACAAGACACAAGTGGATCGATTCCCTCCTGCAGGGCTGGGCTGGAGCCCCACACCCCGCAGCAAACTGAGCTCAGGCTGTGCAGGCATAGAGGCTTCATTCAGTCCAACACCCTGCAGTGAACAGGGACATCTTCCACCAGCCCAGGCTGCTCAGAGCCCTGTCCAACCTGGCCTTGAACAATTCCAGGGATGTGGCACCCAACACCTCCCTCGGAACCCTGAGCCAGGTCCTCATCACCCTCATAAAACATTCTGTGAGAAAATGGTGACTCACGTGCCTGTGAGAATTCATGGAACAGATCTCCAAGCAGAGAACAAACAGCCTTTTGCTGCAAGGTGAGCAACAGCTATGGAATATTTGGCAAAACAAAGTGATTGGTTTACTGGGAGCTGCAATTATGGATACCCATACACTGTTTAGCAGCCAATTCCCACCAATGAGCTGCACTAAGGAAGGAAATCAGGGCTTTTTCCAACATATTTGAAGCATTGGAAGTCTGATCCAAACCTACCTCACCCTTTTCCTCCCGACATAACATTTAGCAATCCCAAGAACTTCCTTGTCTCCTGGCACAGCTCACTACAACAAATGTGATTCTGTTTTTTGGATATTCAAGTACGAATATTTTGGGGAAGGGAAAATAACCTAGGAATGAAGGCCCATTAAAAGAAGAGGTACTCCTGGAGAAGCTGTAATTTCCCAAGCATTAGTTTCAAATTCATTCCCAAATCCACTGCTAGAGACGTGCATCTAAAATAAAACAGTAATGAGAAAATGTTGAGCAATTCTGCTTTACACATCACTGAAATCATATTGCAACAACCTGGCAAAGGAATGTTTGACTTTAATTGAACAGAACACAAAACAAAACAAAACTGCTGTTATGTCATGTCAACAGTCTCTTGATTATCACGATAAGGACCTGTAAATGGATTTATTGTCTTATTTATTTGAAGAAATAGCATTATCGTTCTTCCAGTGTTGCCTAATGCTCTCCCATAGCTTTGGGGAAAGCTAAATTTTCTGTACAACACTTGTCATGGCCAGTTTAGCACAGAACCCAGGTCCTTTAAGTAATTTAAACACAACTGTGGGGTTGAAATTGAGTTTTTAAAACAAAGGCAGCTGCAAAAAATAAATCCAATCTACAGCTTCTGCACCATCTCCACAAGAACAGATGAAGGGATATATGAACTTCCTAGATTAACACAAAGTATTGGAAGACATTTGCACAGAAAACATGTTGCCAAGAGATTTTTCATTCCATTTATTTCAGAAATAAAAGAAGACAATATAAATCACTTAGCAGACACAATCAAAATCAGATCAGGCCTTGTTTACTCTTTCCCAAAATTCACTAGGATTCTCTGTTCCAGTTTCCAGCAGGAAATATTCTCACCCAATCATGTAATCCCACATGCCTGATCAGGTAAAAAGCCAATGGAATCCCAGAATACAGTAGGTTATCAGTGCATATTATTTTACTGCACCTCTACCCCAGCTAATTTTTCACAATAGGTTGGTAGATCAATGAATTGCAGAGCAAGTAACATTCTCCAAAACTTAACAGAACAGCATTTAGTATCTACTCTTCTTTACCTGCCACCATTCCTAGGAATTCACACTTAAATCAGGAAGTAATCCTAATCAAAATACAACTCAAGGCATATCCAGAAATGCAGTGATTATTCAAAAATCACCCCCAAACTGCTATGATTTGAATTTTTTACATTTGCCTGAGATAAGAGCAGTAGCTGGCACTGAAACACTTTGATTTAGCTTGGACAATAATTATCCCATAACTGAGGTCCCAAATTTTTCTGCACAATTTCACTAAACTGCAGGTGCTGGGTAACATTACAACATGCCTCTAATCAGGTTTTACACGTATTTTCTAGATATCTACATTCGTACAAAGATGCTGCTTTAATTAAAGGATCACCCTGAAAATTAGCCCTGGCTCAATCAAGAAAGAGCAACAGATTATTGCAGTAAAATAACAATTTCAGCAACCACTGGAATAGTTCTGAAAGTTCTTGAGCTTGAATTTCAATATTCCTGCATTTGAAGGTTTATTTCTCAAGTATTTGGCATGTTACTATTCTATTTAAATTCTTTGATTAGAAAGAATAATTTACTCTCCTATTCCTGAAAGGGCTGTAAGGTATAATCAGTTTAGTTGAACAGTGCACAGAGTAAGAAAATATCCTTTGCTACCTCCCTTATGTCAGTTATATCCCAACACAGCATTAGTAAGCAAAGAGTATCTTAAAATATATATTGTGAATAAAATTGAACTATATTTAGAGATTAAACTTTGTAGTTAGCTTTATCTCTATCATAAGGAATGAGCCATTCCAACATTGTACTCAAACTACTGGGTATCATTTTACTTCTGGAAGGCCAAAAATGAACTTCAAGAGATGTGCTTACAAATACAGACACATAATTATTTTATTAGAAATACTGAACAGCATCAACTTTTTAACAAGTTTCTCCATGACGGCAATCACAGTGTCCTTATAAAAATTCTACTGTGTGATTTAACCAGGAAAGTTGTACACCAAAACAAATGAAGCATTTTGATTAAATTTCTGTTTGCTCCTAGAGACAAAGACAACTTCTTATAAGGAGTTGTTTAAAAACCCCATAAACTGTTATCAAGCAGTAAAGCACTAGTGTTGAAAGGCACAAGGATTGAAGCTTGTGTTACCTGGTTTCCAGCACAGACAGCCCTTGAGAGCTCAGTAAATCACACCTGTACGACACTGTGCTTGGGCCCAAGTCTGCTACATTCTTTGAAGTGTTGGACAGGTTCTTGTGCAGCTGGAAGGACTCAAAATTCAGAGCAGATATCTCCAGACTTACAGGTTGGATCTTTCCTTGACAGACATACGAGTTGTGGACTGTCTGTATGTTCTGATTACATCCTGAAAATAAAGCAACAGGAAAACTCAGAGCAAGTTCCATTTGAAGTAGAGAACTGCAGGAAAAACATCGAATCAACTGAGTTGTTCTTTGGAGCAAGCCCTGAGCCAAGGAAAGGCTTGTGGCAATGTTTCATTACCATCACAAAGGGTGGGTAACCAACCTGAACACATTTTATACCACGTACAGTTACCTTCCAGAAACTCTACAAACCCCAGCTGAAACAAAGTCTTTGTACATCACCAGTTAATCAACATTTAATTGCTATTAGAGTGATGCTTCCTTATTTTGCAATTCTACGAGCACTGATTTCTGGCCTTTAGATCAAACAGGGATCAAGACTAATTTCTCATTTCATTGGATTTACAAGAGAAGCCAAAATAATTCACAGCCAGTCAAAATGCAGCTACAAAAATCATTACCATACCTTTTTCCCACCCTCAGCATTGTATTTGTCCAGCAAAGCCTGGATACAAGCTCCATATTTAGGATGAACATCAGTGAAGTTTTTCACCTGCACAGGAAGACAAAACAGAAAAAGCAACAAGAATGTTTTTCCTCCATTTCAAGATGGTTCTTTAGCACATTTCCTGGCCTACAAGCAGTAGGTATCATAAGGAAGAAAAGTTTAATTCTGATCAGTTATAAACAAGATATGAACATCTTTGAACATGATTTCTGTTATCCCACACAGAGCTCAGTCCCAATTTAAACAGAGTTGCCCTGGGAAGGATAAGGGTCCTATCCCTCCTTAGCCCTCACTGCCTTCTTGTTTAGAGGAAAAATTTACTCTGGCAGTCATCTGATTTTTCAAACACCAAGCTTAACACATGTTCAACATCTATCCTATTCTTCCCCTCAGGCAAAAGTTACTTTAACATGTTACATATTGATGTTATATTGTGCAAATAGGCACATATTTAAGTATGAGAATTCCTGAGTAAGAAAAAAACCTAGCCTTTTCAGAGAATTCCTGATCTTCCTTTCCAGAAGCCATTATGGCAATGTTACTAGATTGGCAGGAAATCTGGAATAAACCCCAAGGAGGGCACTTACAGCTCGTTTCTGAATGAAGAGTTGGGCATCCTTCAGATGCTCTGCAATGTTCTTACACAGCCTCTGGCGCTCTTCCTCGTTCAGCACTTTGAGGTAGAATTCTCTTACCTGGCCATTGGAAAAAAAGGTTTATTTTGATATTCCCAAAAGTGAGTAAGAACAGCTTTCACTTCCTACAACAAGCAACACTTGAAATACTCAAAATGTTTAAAAGGCAGCCAATCTGTGAGGGGTTTTTTTGACAAACATGCCAACAACTCCTTCTCCAGACACTAATGGGAAGAAGACACAAGTCAGAGCCTCTGTGTAACAATGTCCAAAATCTCAATTGCACATTCTGTGAGAACTCACACTAATGCACACCCCACACACTCCTCATGTGTGCCAAGCAGCACAAAGCCTTTCCAGAGCCCCACCTGGGTCACATTGTCCTCATTGGCACTGTTGAAGCGCTGCACGTCCCCTGAAGCAAACATGCGGCTCTCCTTGAGCTGGGGCTGATCCTCGGGACCAGTGAAGCTGTTTGGGTAATAATTGGGGGCACCACCTGGGGAAAAAAAAACAAACCCCAGACCAAATCCATCAGATGGCAGCACCTTCAAATAAGTCAGAAGACAGAGGGTGTTATTTGCTTGGAGGAATCGAAATCAATTACTCAGTTATGATTTATTAAAAATGGCTGACATAATTTTTATGTCAACACCTTCAAGCCAGCACTTAACAGCACCTGCTACAAAGAGAATCTCTACAACTTTTTTCAGGGAATGTTGGCCTGATTCAAAAATAAGAAAAGCTGGCCACTCTCACAACAGTATTTCTCAATTATAGTAGACAGTCATGGTTAAAGTCTAAGACAGCATGAAAATACAGTCATTTACAAATCTGAAGTACTACAATGCTTCCCTGTGTAGGGGCTGTATTTTAAACACTTAATGAACTTAGAGAACTGCATAAACTCATTATCTGTTCTGGGACAAGAGCAGCTGCCCTCAAGTTCCTGTTTTTCAAATATTTCCCTCTCCTTCCTCAGCACGTGTCTGAATTCATAGCCCAGAGGAACACATATTTTGGCATGAGCCACAGCTTAAGTACATCCTTGTTTACTCTCAGGTGGAAAACAGCCACTATTGGGCAAACCCTGACAGAACAGAAGCTGCTCAATAGAGGGGAAGTGACAGCTCTACTCCTGGCATTTTCAATGTAGCCTTTCACAATCTCTCAGAAATCTGAAAGCAAAGCAGTTTAGTGGAGTGGACTGAGCATATCCAAGTCAATCTTTAAAACTTGACTGGGTTTTCTCCCACAGACTCATTTTCTGTTAAAGGCTTTTTTGTTAAGCTTTAAACACATCCTCAACTTCAATTAATTTTTATGCTTTTAAACAAGCTCTTCATCCCATATCCAAATATCCCAAGTCTTCTTTACTGGATTAACAGAGAAGACATACGTGCACTCTACACCAGTATGGATTTTAAGTCCCCTGTGAAGTGAAGAAAATGCTGCAGCCCATGCCTAAGAATCATTATATTGAAAGCTGCTTTCCTGACTACCTTGGTTGTCAGAAACAGTCATTGGCCCATCCCTCTGGTAGTTGGCCACCCTGGCTCTGAAGGGACAATTCACAGGGAGCTGCAGATAGTTGGGGCCCAGGCGGTGTCTGTGGGTGTCAGGATACGAGAAGAGGCGTCCCTAAAACATTGATCACAAACATTAACCACCACTTGTTAAAGACTGGGCCATGTCAACTCGAAGCTTTCACAAGCAGCAAAGTAACCAATGCTGCTCAGGTGGAACCTCCTGTTTACCTGCAGCATTTTGTCAGGGCTGGGCTCAATTCCAGGGGGCATGTTGCTAGGGTCATAAGCCATCTGTTCCACCTCTGCAAAGTAGTTGACAGGATTCCTGTTCAAGACCAGCTTTCCCACAGGGATGAGAGGGTATTCACTATGAGGCCAAACCTATAAGACACAACACACATCCAGTAAAATCAACATTATTACAGTATTATGCAGCTTAACTGCCAGGCAGAATTCACCTGATTTAAGTCTAGATTAAGAAAACACATTACCGAGTTTATTTTCTCCTAACAAACATTGAGAAATGTCTTATTTTAAGAAGCCTTTTGCAATTAACACAAAGTATGAATGCAACTTATTTCATCATCCCAGCATAATCTCAGCACTTGAATACTTGAATGAAATACCCGCAGGCCCTTGAAAATCTGCCTAGGGAAGCAGGGTGTGGGTGGAACTGGTGGCACAAATATTTTCACCTCCTTCAAAACGCTTAACTGCCTTTTCTTTGCCATCTGAGCTGCACTTTTAAGTTCAAAGGTCTTTAGCCACTTGAGGAGAGCAGTGATAAGAGGTAAAAAAGAGTTTATGCAAAGCAAGTTTATGTTGCCATCTTTCAGCGAGGCAATCCTAGGTGCAGCTATTGGAAGTGGGACAAAATGAGACCAGCAAGGCTGAGGGTGTGACTCTGATCTGAGATCTCAATTCTGAAGTGCCTGGAATCAAGCCACATCCATATTTCCCTAAGGAAGAGTAACATCAGATATAACACAACTACAGTTTCATCTCTGGAATTTCTGGCTCATTGTGGCTCTACAATAAAGAATACACTTAAAAACTACCTGAAACTGAATATTCCCAGAAGTATCAAACATACCTTAGTCAAATCAAAAGGATTAAATGGGAACTTCTCTGCTTCTTCAAAGGTCATAACCTGAATATAGAAGGACCATGAAGGATAGTTCCCCTTGGCAATGGCATTGTAAAGGTCCCGTATGGCATAATCAGGATCAGAAGAAGCCAATCTTCCTGCTTCTTCCACAGTAAGATTTTTGATGCCCTGGTCAGTCTAAAAACAACAAAAGCACCAGTTACAGCATGCAGAAAAGTACCACAGAGATCATTCATCAGAATGGATTCTAGCAAGATTTATAATCCAAGAATGAGATTGTCCAAGTTCTAACTTCCAGTAACTTGAGTTCAGATTTACAGTACATTCAACAGCTGCCTTCCAGATAAAAATCAGTTCACTGGTAACGCTCCATTAACAAGAGATAGATGCCCAAAGAAGTGTTTCTTACAGTCCAGTAAATGATTATTGTGTTAGTAAGAAGAAAGATGCCTCTCCTATTGGTTAAAGGTATTAAACAAGGACTCCATATACCTTTGAGCCTGAACTAAACTTGAAAAGTCACACATTTTTATGTTTTTTTATCCAATGTGATGTATAGTTTCAATTAAAAAAAAATCAATACCTTGGCATGGAATTTGCAGTAAACTGCTCCTCCAGCAGCATTAACCAGTTTGAAGGTGTGTGATCCATATCCATTCATGTGGCGATAGCCATCGGGAATGCCACGATCACTGAACAGGAAAGACACCTGAAGAGAAGGATCAAACTCATTAATGGGCTCAGCATATCAAGGAGAAAGTCTTCATCCCAAGTTTGCTTATTGTGTTAATCTGCATCACTGGGAGCTATGTTAATGTTGCTAGGAATTCCTTGAGGAATTTCTACTTTAGGTGTTAATGAAATAAAAGTGACTTCCCCTGTAAGCACAGGTAAGCATGGATAATTTAAAATTATATTTAAATAAAATATAAATAAGACTATGTAGATTTCTAAATAAAACATGGAAAAGAGAGAGTTAAAAACCTGCTGTCATAAAACAATTTTTTAAATCATACAAAATAAAGTCATGGGAGAAGCTTACTTGGTGCAAAGACTCAGGCCGAAGACTCCAGAAGTCCCATACCATGTCTGCATCCTTCAGATGAGTCTGAGGGTTCCTCTTTTGGCTATGGATGAAGGATGGAAACTAATTTGTCCAGAAGTGGAGGAGGAAAAAGAGAGAGAAAAAAAATTAAAGACAAAGTTGTAAGGTCACTGGAAAAAAAAAATCTTCTACTGCTATACTCTTCCTGCAAACAAATTAATTCACAGACCAGTAAAAGGAGGATAATGTCAAACATTCACAATTAGAATAAACAGACACAAAGAATGCTTTCTTTTTGTGGTTGATAAGGTGAGAGATAAAAACACACAGACAAATATAGCCAGGGTTACGTGACTCATAAATGAATACAGAGACACTATGAAATACCTGTGCAGAACTGCACTCAAGGAAAGCCCCTCTATTAACTGCTGTCAAAGTTATGCCAAAAGACCAAAAAACCCAGATTTAATAAAAAGAATTGGCAAGAAGCTTTTGAAGTGAAAAGTTCAAGTGAAAAGTATGAAACCATGTAAGTTATCAAGTTTTAGTTCTTTATTTTTGTTTAAGAACATCTTTCCAAGCAAAAAATTGTTCAGGCAATCTGACAAACAACCAAGTTTAAGTGTGTCAAAACTGGAGCTTTTGCTTCTGAGGGAAGTCAGAAAAATATGTGAATGAACTTTTGGGCTTTCTCATAAAGTACCCTCAACCTGCTGTGCTTACTCACCAGCAGTGGGTCCCGAATAAAGAAGATGGGAGTGTTATTTCCCACAAGATCCCAATTCCCATCCTCCGTGTAGAATTTCATGGCAAAGCCTCGGGGGTCACGAACCGTGTCAGCTGAGCCAGATTCTCCAGCTTGAAGAAATACATGAACACACAGAAGTGTTAGGGTAGGAAATGCATATAGATATGACCTGGAAAAAAAAAACAGATCATAAAATCCTAAAAGGGCAAGGTTTATTGCAGTCTTTTCTACGCCTAGGAATTTTAGGAATATTTTCAACAATACTTCAGGCACTGTGAGTTTTCAAAGTGTGAACCCAGCCAAACATTCAGGCCATAGTTAAAAGAAGGAAAAAACAAGTACATCCACTTGAACCAATTAAGAGTGGAATTTGCATTATCACTAAGAGAGACATCATCAGATTTTAAGGCTGAATCATCTAAACCCACATTTGTTTCTGTACACCAAATCCCAGTGGGAAAGCTCTCATCTGGAAGGTAGCAATCTAACCAGCGTGCCTAATAAAAAACTATGGAAGAGCTGTAATCCTTTTAATTCCTCCTGCTTCACCCAGGATGGGATCTTCAATGGGAATTTAGATCAGAGCACAAGTGCTCAGCACAACACCTGAGCAGAAGTGTTCCAGAAGTGCTCAGAACAGCTAATGATGGATTGTGATGAAATCAGAAGGACGCCCATTCTCTCGTTAAAAACCTTGTGTATTCCAGAGCAGCAGGGAGGAAACACGTCCAAACAGGGCAGGCAAAGGGAAGGGAAGGATGTAACAACCTGTTCCAGCAGCAGTCCCCATTTCAAACTCAACTCCATGTCCTTACCCTGCACAACACTCAGGACACCCTAAATCTTATAGGATTTAACACTGGAAACAGCCAATAGGCCAAAGCCAGCAGCTCCCTGAGCCTTGCTGGACTACTTTTTTTTCCTCCAGTACTTCCAGAACTGAATCCTCATTAGGATTTCTTTTCTTGTAAATACACCCACATCACGAATTATAAAATGTTTCTATCAGACAAGCCATTGATGACAATTAGCTTCAACTCATAGCATTTAAGCATGCTAGTTTGTGCATTCCAATCTCTAAGAAATCAGCGTTTATTTATGGAAGATTGTTGATTTTTCTTAGTTTACATCATTCATCCCCAAAACATTCCTCCAGCATAAGAGATCATAGGTATTTAACTTGCAAGTGTTGATTGTGATCCAACCAGAAACAAAGCAAGCCTTCTGTCAGAAAAAAAACCAGCTCAGGCTGCCCTCTCTCACATTTCAGACAGAAAAGCTCTGACAGAAAGAGGCAAAAGCTGCTTAAGGTCCTCCATGTAAGTGAACTTCAGAGAAGATGAATTGGCTGGAAGAAAGCATTGCAAACCCCCTCAAGTGCCCCACAATGCAAACACTGCTCTCAGAGCATTCCTGTAAAAGACACAAAGTGGATTTAGAGCCTTACCAACAGTGGAGAAGCGGATGGCAAGTGGAGTCCTTTTCCCAATGTGCTCAAAGATTTTTGCCTTACAATACTGGGTGATATCATGAGTGACTTCAAAATAGCCAAAGGCTCCTGAAGAACAGCAAGTTCAAAATATCAGATCTAGGTACCTTCCTTCCACTCACAGCTTGTCTGTTGTTAATATACAGCTTTAAGTCAAAGAGAAACATGCAAGTACACCAGTTTAAACAATGTTCTATACACTCAATTTACTTTCATAAAATGAAACTGATTTAACACAAACTATTTGCTCATTCTCTCCTCCTTAACTGACTGCTAGCAGCTCCCAGCAGCAGCACAGAAGATGCTCTTCTGTCAAGACCTGTGTATTTATCTGGAGCAAGGCAGGTATTTCTTTAATCCTGCTATGAGTTGCAGAATTTTTGGTGCACCTGTAAGCTGGGTGAGGCAACAGAACCCTTCCCACCCCCACAGAGGAACTTTTCCCATGTACAGTCACATTTTAAATACAGTCCCACGTTTGCTCTTTCTAGAGCAATGCATGACAAAAATCAAGGTACTAATTCTACCTCACTAAGATCAATAATATCTTTTTAAAGGTCTAGGTTTTTTAAATTTAAATATTAGATGATCAGCTTGCTTTGGCAGACATACATTAGAAGAAAAGCCAAATTCTCTATTAAGTAACATGCAAACAACATTAAATAGAGATGGGAGGAACAGACAGAAGAAGCAGAGACTACAGCAGATAAAGTAAAAATTGAAGGGCTATCACCATATTTTCTCTCATTTTTGTAAAGAATTTTTCAGTGCTTCAAGTTTTGGTAGTGAGCTCTTTTAAACCAGGTCTTACCACTCTTGTTTATATAGATTTATTAAAGTTAGTAACACTAAATTATAAATTACAATGTAATTTATGTGTCACAATCTACACATTAACTCAAAAGCGCCTCAATTCTACACAGAGAAAATATATGATTTTAAACATACCTGCCCCTTTTGCATGCACAACTCTCTCAGGAATCCTCTCTCTGTCAAAGTGAGCCATCTCATCAGTGAAAACAACATCTTGGACAAGAAGAGGTCCACGTGGCCCCACTGTCAGGACATTCAGTTTATCCCCAATGGGGTTCCCAGCACCCGTGGTCAGGACATCTGGTTTCTGGAAGCAAGAGAAAGTCACTGTCAACACCAGAAATTCAAAACCCTCTGGATCTGAGCCACACAATGTGCATGACTGTTCAACCACTACATGTCCCAAAACATACCAGCAACAAGTGGCAAAATGACTTCAGATTCTGGAGGAAGTTACAGGACATACAGATGTTTACCTAAATCACAGAGCTAAGTTTTAGGACAATTTAAGAAAGGGAGTTTAAGTCATGTAAAATCCAGGAATGTTTTCCATGGCTCAGAAATGTTTCTTCTCAAGATTACTGATCTTGCTTCAAGAAAAATATGGGATGGGGAAAAAAAACTATAACAGAAGGAGCTGCTGCAAAATAAGGGAGAAAGGAAAGGAAGAAGAAGGTAATGTCACTACAGGGGTAGAGACATAAAGAAAAGAGCTACAGCCAGACTAAAAGGGAGTTTCCATGATTAGTGTTGGTCTGGAATAGTTATAGAAAATAATAGAAGTAGGAACACCTGAGGAATCATAATTTTAGACTCCTTGACCATGGAAGCTCTAAGAAGCTCTACTGCCAGGAAATGTCCAACAAGGAACTTTGAGAAACACCTGCACTAGAACTGACTATACTCCTACTTTCTCATAAAAAGATTCCAGTATAAAAGACTTGATCTGCATCACACGTGGGGTTATATATGCTCCTCTAAAGCAATATTCCTATTTTACTGGGTACTGTAGAAAATGTAGTGAGAAAGGTACATCAGCTCCAGAAACATGATGAGTTCTCAGTGTTTCCTGGAGTACATTTGCTGTTAAGGGCCTTGTAAAGGATTTAGAAGAAGAGGAAAACAAATAAAGACAAGGGAAAAAATAAAGAAAAGAAAGGCAAAATTTTGCAACAGGATGAGCTCAAATAGCAGAGTCACAGAATACAACCAGCTAACAATAAATCCATCACATCTTACACTAAACTGACATGATCCCATATGGGCTCTATCCACACCACCCTACCTGAAGCATCCACACACCTGAACCACGCCAGCACAAACTCCCTCAGCCCCTCCTGACTAGTTCTCCTCCTTTAAAGTTCTATAAATGAAAAGGGATGGAGGAGAGAAGGAAGAAGCAATGCTTGATGAGAAAAGGCTTCACTACTCTAACAGCAACTTCATGGGGCTCCAATTCTGATCCTGAATTCTGCTTTAAGAGGGTTCATTACTGCAAAAGGACAAAATTCCCATCTGATAGAAGACCTTTTTCCCCACAAAAGGAAACCCGCAAAGGCAAGGAAAGAACAATTATTCACATCCACACCCAGAGCTCTGGATGAGGCAGAAAACAGAGGGAGTTCCAGACACCTTTGTTACACTCAGGTCCATGAATAACCACAAAAAAGACATTTGACAGGATAAATGCATTCCCACTGTGTTCCTACTAATGTGCAACACATGCTCCTCCAGCTGGCTTGAATTTCCAAAATATCCACATTCTTTATTCTTCCTTCACCACTTCATTAGCTTAAAGCTTTAAGCACAAATCCAACTCCTTTGGGATGCCTGGAATCCTCACCTGCACTGAAATCCGCACAAACATTTTAAAAGACAATATGTAACTGGTTACAAACATAAACATGATGTTCAGAAACTTACAGGAAAGTTAAATAAAGTTAATTTCAAGTCAAAGAAACATCTGCTTAAATCAAAAGGTTATCTATAGTTTGTCATGGGAAACATGCAAAAATAGAAATTGCTCTCAGTGCATTTTCCACTGCTTATTTATTACAGGCAACACTATTTTATAAACCCAATATTTAGGGCCACCAAAAGTAGTTGCTAAAACCACAGCTTGTTGACATTAAGGCTATAAAAAAAAATAACAGCTTTGTGGCTGTGGAGTCTCCTTTGTGTAGGCAGACTTGTTAAGAATATTCATTTATTTCGTGGAAGGAGATATTCACTTTAGTTCCAGGATAATGTTATGTGGGGGCACACACAGTTCCAGAGAGGAAGTAAGTAAGTTCCAGAGAGGAAGAAAAACCACACCATAGTTTAAAGAAGAACTCTCATACTATTTTTGGACCTGAGTTTGTTTGATGCCTGTGTTTTCATCTGACTGGGAGCTGCACACAGCCCAAACCTTGATAGGTAAGAATTTTTAAATCTGTATTTCATTACAGCACTAACTGCCATGACAAAAAGAAGGGAAGCAAAACCAGGGAATTTTAGTCACTGCTGGGGTAACCAGCACACATCGAAGTACACACTTCCAGGCTTTACCGATACTTTGTACCTTATACAACTCACTTTAAATTTCTAATAAGTCCTCCCTACTTTCTATCTTAAAGTCTCATGACTCCTTATGCAACTCAGACTTTGGGTTACCTCCCAGTCTCCAAATTAACCCTGGCTTCTTTTCAAATACTGCTTTGCTACAGAAAGCCGACATCCCTACAAAAAGAATTACTCATGGATAAAAAAGGAACTATTATGACACACGCTAGGATATGATGGAGTCACAAGTCATCAGGTAAGTTTTCATACTGTTTCTTTGAGAACTAAGAGAAAAAAAATAAAATTAAGACAACAGCTCCAGTGGGAACTGAGACATCCACTTGCATCTTGTAAGATTGCTGCTTAAAATCAGCAGGAAGTGTATATAGTAGCAAATACACATTTCTGTCAGAAGCCACATGTGGAAACTGTCACAGTGATTTGATGAAGAAGTGAAATCAACTCTTACAGCCTTTATACATTTACCCAAATATTTTGGGGTCTATTCTACATCTTCAGATGACTGAGTGCCACACTGTTTATTACATGCCCTTGCGATTTCAATCAACCACTTGTCCCAATTCACTCCACAGAATTATGGAATGGTTTGGGCTGGAGGAGATCTTCAAGGTCATTGAATTCCACCCCTCTGCCATGGGGGACATGCAGGGACACAGGGACATTTTCCATGATCCCAGGTTGCTCCAAGCCCCGTCCAACCTGGCCTGGAACACTTCCAGGGATGGGGCAGCCACAACTTCTGTGGAAAACCTGTGCCAGGGTCTCAGCACTCTCACAGGGAACAACTCCTTCATAAAAAAAATTCAATTCTCTCTGGTCAGCAAGTCCACGCAGAACATGCTGAGTGGGAAGGGAGCCACAAGGATCACTGAGTCCAACTCCCGGCTCTGCACACACTGCTGAAGGTGCTTTATCCTTTCTATTATTCCCTAGTCACATTTTCACTGGGCGCTAACGCCGCGGCAGAAAAGAAAGGCAAACTTCTGATTTAAGACGGAAAAAAGTCGCGGCCATCACCAAGGAGCAGCCGGGACCGGGCAGCGCTGACCGCCCTTATCACCCCGGGCCAGCTGGCAGCCTGCACCCCTCCGTGCCTCGCTGCCCCCGGGCACGGCTCCAAGCCGTGCGGGCGAGACCGGGCCGAGGGCGCCTCGTCCTCCGCCGCTGTCCCGGGGCCGCCCGGGCGCTCGGAGCGCCGCATCCCGCGGAACCCCGCGGGGCTCTGCGCTCCCCAGCGGATACGAGGCACGGGGGGGACCGGGGAGCGGCGGTGCCCGGCGGGTACCTGCGAGCCCCGGTGGATCTTCCACTGCTTCAGCTGGTCAGCCGCGTCGTCCCGCCCGTCGGCCATTTTGCAGTCTACGGCGACCCCCGAGGCAGCAAGGGCGGCGCGGAAGGGAGCGGAGAGGAGAGGAGCGGAAGGGAGCGGCGGAGCTGTGTTAGCTGCCGGCAGGGAGGTCCGGCTGTGGCCCGGTCACGCTGTCACCCCGCGGGGACCCTGCCGTGCTGCCAGCGCGTCCCGCCCGCAGCAGCCGCGGGTAGCGGGAGGCACCGCCACTACAGCTCCGCTCCGGCCTGCGCCCGCCCCCCGCTACCCCCGCCACCAATAGGATCGCGGTCAGCAGCCACCGCTGGCTCTGATTGGTCTAAAGGCACGTCAATCATGAGCGCGGGGGCCCCGCCCACTCCTCACGCTGTGGGGACAGCGGCCCGCGGCGCTGTGGCGTTCCTTTGAAATTCCAAGAAAATTCAGCAATGTAGGGCCAAAGGGATTTTTCTGCTCTAATCCCATTGCTGGGATGCCGGAGCTTTCTCAAGATGCTGCCGGTGAAGGCGTTGTTCAGTGACAGAAGAAGTTACAGGCTCCGCACTGTGAAAACTGCAACATACTGAGGAGTTTCTGAGGCAGGATTTATTTCAGCGGGGGAAGAATGTTTGTAAATTGCAAAATCAAAGCGATTAGCATATAAGTATATAAATTACATGAGTGTATAACTATATACGAGCTCATTCTTGTATTGGTGCCTGAAATGGGGCACATGTGATTCACTAACTTTTGTCATATCCACTCAATAGCAAAGAGCATTTTTTTTGTGACTGGAATTTTTAACCTTTAAAATCCACCCACTTCTGAATGATGTGGTTACACTTACAAATTATGAATAAGCATAACAGTAGTTGTGATACTGCTGTGGTCCCTGGCTTGGTGCCTAATGCATGTAATAAGAGTGATAAAAGTGATTAAAAATTGGTTATTTTTCCTATTTCTGAGGTAAAACCTTTGAACAAAGCAAATAATCCACTTTAAACTCCTTATCTGCAAGATTATATCTACATTCTTTTCTTAATACATACAAAGAATAGTCTAACCTGTTATTTCAATTAGACAGTTGCTTTATCTAGTATATGTTATTATGGATTAGAAGGTTAAAGCTCCCAAGTTCAGGTCTCTACTATACAGGGAATATCATTACTTCTCTTTTCTTCAGACTTAAGGACAGCAAACTCCTTTTTTTTCCTGCTTCACCCTTTATTGGGACATTTCTTTCATGTCTTGAAGCCTCATAATCTTTTCTGCTTCAACATGACAATCAACACCATAAAGAAGGGCAGGGAAGATCACTTACGTTTCCCATATTTTTATATAAAATATACATCAGCAGACAATACTTACCACGCCTAGATTTAATATTAGGATTGCCCACGTAAAGTTTTTTAAAATCAATAATTGCTATTTCAGTTTGCTTAACCAGCAAATTGGGGGAGTTGTGAACATTTCCATGAACAGTTAATATTTGCTTTTCCTTTAAAGTTTAACACTTTAAATTTTACGCAGTTTAGATAAACCGGCTGGTCACAAATCTGTTTCAAAGTAAGAGTAACTTGCAAAAACTTCTTCTCTTTCCTTTCCTATGAACCTTTCTTAATATATGCTAGAGGAAAGGATTTATTGCATATACCTACATGTGTGTTTGCATAAAAAACAAACAAACAAACAAACAAGAAGAGATTGAATATTGGCTAAGAAAATATGCAAACCCCAACCAAAACCATGGGGAGGGCAGGTGGCAACACCAGTGGCACCTATTGCAAACAGTGTTTGCACTTCAGCTTAACTAAAAAACAAGTGACTGCATTTCATAAGAAAGGGCACACACAAAGCTCAGTGTGACACAAATATTTTTGTCTCTCATCTTGCTCTAATTTTATGTCTTTTCAGGAAAAAAAGCAGTGAATGCTAGTTTGAATTCCACATGTATCTGGCTGTGGGTATCTTCATTTGTTTCCTTTTCCCCCTCTCCTATCTTGATATTTGTTTCCTGAGGCGCCTTATTTGCCTCCTTTCATATATCTGCATTAAGTAAACAAACTTCAGACAATTCGAAATTAATCATCTTTACTTACCTGGGGAGACTGGTTCTCTGCTCCACATGACTTTTTGCGGCATGATCCAAACCACACTTTGCCCTTAATTAAGCTTTGGGGAGATTAAAAGACAGAGTGCTTAGCATTTGTGTTTTGTTGTATTTCAAGTGAGTCTAAACACAAACTAAAAGGTCAGTGTCACACACCATTGTGCTGTAAATAAGGTTTACACATAGCTCAGTGATTTACACCCAAGGGAAGGATCTAGAATTAGTGGAGTAGCAGGTCAGTAGTGCCTCTTGCTTTGCTAATTAGGTTCCACAGGCACCCCAAGCTTTCATCTTACATCTATCAGCCCTCTCTGGCTGCCTTGGTCCCTCCTTCCTCTGTGATTAAATCAGAGTTAAAATGTTCCCAAGCTGCCTACAATGTCTGTACACTGTGAGTGCCTCGGCTGCAGAACCAGAGCATTTAACTCCAGCACAGAGCGTGCAGGACAAGATGACTTTTAAACTAAGAGCTCAGAAAAGAAAAGCATGAGAGAGAGCATGTTCACTTCTTAATTGAACGGATTTTTGATAAGAACACTTACCACAGGATTGGGAAGCTTATTTTTTGGGAGGCTTATTGACCCTTCTGCTAAATATGTGCAAACTTGTATCTTGCAGAGGATCCAAATTATGCATCTAGGGATGAGACTTGGATACATTTTCTACCCTGAGCCACAAGGAATAAGGTCAAAAAACCATAAAAACTCTGGTTCAGGCTCACATAATAAAAATATAATTGATATTACTGAGTATATTTTCAGTCACGAATCAAATTCAGCTACTGTATGTGGACCAGTTATGAAATAATATAATGAATCTGTTCTCAAGACCTGAAATTCTAATTGGCCTTTATAAATATCCACTATTTATGTATTTGCAGTACCTTGGGAACCTTTTTCACTCATCCCTCTGCTGTCATGCCTGGTGTTAACATCAGAGAAAAAGCATGGAAAGACCAACAAAGAAGAAGAACATGACAGAGGATTGAGGGATAGGTATGGCAACTACAGACAGAAGTGTGTTGCTGTTCTATTTCAGAAAAAAGCAGAGATTTATGAATAGAAACAAGAGATTAATATCCTTTTAAATCAAATAAACAGAATATTCTGTCTGTGCTGATTTCCAACACACACCCAGGGCAATTTTATATCTCCAGCTGGCAATTACACAGCCATGAAGTTCATGCTGAGGAAGGTCAGCCAACCTTGGGTGACACGTGCTGAGGTGTTGGACACGGTCTGTGGTGAGCAAAAGAGATGGAATAAGAGGTAGGGAATGATAAACTGGGGATCTCTGCATCTGTAAGATAGGTCTGAACACATTTTGCAGCTTTGGTGATAAGTCTATCACTGAGTAACTTGCATTGTGTGCAGCCTTTTTAGTTTTGTGTTTTCAGTCATCAGATCTAATGGAAAACATGGAAAACACTGAAGTCCGTGTTCAGAAGAGGTGTCCTTTAAGGGATCATTGAGGGGACTGCAAGGTAAGCAGGCAGGAAGTAAAATCTGGCTTTTATGGGAAATAGCACACTGGACTGTCATTGGACAGAGAGAGATACTGAGATGCACAGAAAATGTGAAAAAATCAGGTAGAAGAAAATCAGGGAAAGGCAGATAGGAAACTTTACTTTGTGCTTGTCATTTTTCACCCTCCTCTGCTGTAGTTATTAGGGAAAGGTCTCAATTTAAATTACTAGGGAAAAAAAGATTAGCCTCAAATATAGAAAAGTGTCTTAGAATATTAATAATTTATATGTTTCAGACATGTTTTTCTTTGCTTCTCTCATTCTCCGTAGACAAGAATGACTTCAGAGATTTTGGAGCAGTTGTCTTTAGCCTTTGAGGTTTGTATGGGGTTAGTAAATGCCAGTGGTCCTAGACCTAATCCTTTCTAACCAAAAATATAATTTAATTAATCTATATTACTTGTTTCTAATAATGCATTGCTTATTTTAAACTACTTGTGACCATCATTACGAAAATGTGTTTCATATTTTGGGCTGGAAAGACAGCTGCAATCTACTCCTTGAGACCAGTGAAGGAACAAAAACAGAGTAGGAAATGCAGCACTTTTCAGGTAGTGGGGTATTCAAACATCTTTAGCATCCTGGATACCTCACTTCTGTGTTTTTACTCCTCAAAACTGCATCATTAAAATTATTTCTCATCACAGACACACAATTTTCTTTTGTTAATGCAGATTTGATTTCCTTTCAAGTTCATGAATTTTTCTCTATTTGTTCTCTGTGTTATTAGCAGCATTGTCTGAGGCATCTACCCAGTGGCAGTTCATAAAACCTCAATTTTTGGAACCTGGTTTTGCCCATTAAAGCTTAATTCTGTATAAGAAAAGATTTACAGCTAAACACAGCCATGTTTTTTTCTGTCGTTACAATCAGAAGCTCTTAAGCTTTTAAATGGGTCAACCCTCAGTGTGACTTAGTCACATGTTTTTTAAATTAGTCAAGTGCTTAATTAGCATGCTGGATGTTTGCATGTACAAATATAGATGTTTGATCTCAGAGATACCTTGGTACAATAGGTGTCATTTTATGTGTTCCAATTCCACAGAAAGAAGGGAATCCTAAATGAACAGAGCTTGAATTTGCAGAAAATTAAAGGCAATTAAAAATGTTGTCTGCCCAGCAGGACTGGAAAATCAGGCTATTATTTCATTGCCAGGAAAAATCAGATACATGCCTTTGAAAACTTTGGAGGTATGTGTATAGCTAAATGCATCAGTAGGGCTCTAGGCTGATACACAGAGATTATTGATATAATCCATTACCACCAGTGATGATGAATTTCAGCATGGCTCATACCTCAAATTTCAATTAAATTTCAATCAAGTTTGGTACTAAACAATGTAAAAATTTGTTCTTTACAGTGGTGATTTCCGAATTTCTGTGGGAATATGGGATCATGGCACTGACTGGAAAATAAAATATTATCATAGGGAGCTTATGGGGAAAACAAGAACAACAACAAACACAG